CATTCTGGCCATTGCTTCTCAGTGTACGCTTAGTATCTTGGGTTTGACTGAGACCTGGATTTGTCCAGAAGACTCCGCAACCCCTGCTTTTCTCACTAACAACGTCCCTTTCTCTCACACCCTCTGTCAGGTTGGAAGGGTTACTGGTCTTCTCATTTCTAATAATTGGAAATACTCAACCCACTCTTCCCTGTACAATAAAAAAGTCTTTTGAGTTTCATGCTATTATGGTAACCGCTCCTATTAAACTCCATATTGTAATGATTTATCGCCTTCCTGGTCAACTGGGTACCTATTATATAGGAGCTGTATGGGCTGCTGTCCTCATTCTCTGTGGATGGCAGTCCACTTTTAGTCTTTGGTGACTTTCGAAATTCATCTGGAGAAGCCTTACACTGCAGATTTCCACTTCCACTCCTAGCTTCATTCGATCTCAAATGGCTTACCACCACAATCACTAACAAATCAGGCAACCAGCTTGACTTAATTTACACATGCAGTTGTATCACAGACAACATTTGGTAAAACCTCTAGACATCTCTGCTCATTTCTTTATTACATTTAACCTACATATTACTTGCCTGTGTGCCACCAATTCCTCTACCAGTTACTTTTAGGCAAAACCTCTGTCAGGTTGGAAGGGTTACTGGTCTTCTCATTTCTAATAATTGGAAATACTCAACCCACTCTTCCCTATGCAATAAAATTGTTTTGAGTTTCATGCTATTATAGTAACGGCTCCTGTTAAACTCCATATTGTAATGATTTATCGCCTTCCTGGTCAACTGGGTACCTATTATATAGGAGCTGTATGGGCTGCTGTCCTCATTCTCTGTGGATGGCAGTCCACTTTTAGTCTTTGGTGACTTTCGAAATTCATCTGGAGAAGCCTTACACTGCAGATTTCCACTTCCACTCCTAGCTTCATTCGATCTCAAATGGCTTACCACCACAATCACTAACAAATCAGGCAACCAGCTTGACTTAATTTACACATGCAGTTGTATCACAGACAACATTTGGTAAAACCTCTAGACATCTCTGCTCATTTCTTTATTACATTTAACCTACATATTACTTGCCTGTGTGCCACCAATTCCTCTACCAGTTACTTTTAGGCAAAACTTGCGCTCCCTTTCACCCTTTCATCTTTCCTCTGTAGTGTCACCCTCTCTTCCCTCACCCACCCATTTCTCATCTCTGGATGTAAATACAGCAGCTGATACTTTATGATCCACTTTAACTTCTTGTCAAGACAATATCTGTCTAGACAATCCCCCCTCACAATGTAAAGAGCTTTGAGTGCCTAGAAAAGCGCTATATAAATGTAATGAATTAATTATTATTAGACAGGCCAGTGCATACTACCCCTTCTAACCTAAAATTGCCCCATGTATCATAATTTTTAGTATCCTAGTATCATGTAGTATATTTTTGTTGAGCAGTCTTTTGGGTGGCTCACCAATGTACTAGATTTCTCAAATACAAAAAATTAAGTAGGATTGACCAAACTTTATGTGGGGAGAAGAATTTATTGGAGATGGTAGTGTAGCAGTTCTTCAATAGCGATTTAAACTTGTCTTCCTTCAAACAATTTTACCCTTGTATGAATCCTAGCTTCTCCCAAAGTTCTGTCTGTAGGACATAATTTTATAACTGAAGACAAAAGGGCTAGAAACAATACTGTTAGGACCTTCCCACTGGAGATCCTGCAATCTACAAGACGTTCCTGGGGAATGCTGTTCCTCTGTTTTTCTAATGGAATAGACCATTTGGTTCACACCTTTATAGACACAGTTAAATTATTTCACAAAATGACCAACTGAACTTTAACCAATCAGGTTTTAGCAGCGGCTAAGACTGCTTTGCTGTCGGTCACTGTAGCCCTGCAGATAGCGAAACTGATTTTCTCTGGGATCAGTTGCTATGCTGATGACACACAGCTCTAACATTCATTTCAACCAGACAATCCAATAGTAGCTGCATGGATCTCAGGCTGCCTGGCAAACATCTGATGCCTGGCATGGATGAAGGAACATCACCTGCAGCTCAACCTGACAAAGACTGAGCTTCTTGTTTTCCCTGCCACTTCGACTCTACAGGATGATTTCATCATCCTGCTAGGTTCATCAAAAATTATTCTTTGGTGACCAGCTGACCTTCAAGGACCATATTGTAAAGACCGCTCGATCATGCAGGTTTGCATTGCACAACATCAAGAGGATCAGATCCTTCCAAACAGCGCATGCTGCACAACTTCTTGCCCAGGCCCTTGTCATTTCTAGGCTGGACTATTGCAATGCTCTTCTAGCTGGGCTTCCATCATGCGCAATCAAACCTCGACAAATGTTTCAGAATGCAGCGGCACGACTACTCTTCCATGAACCCAAAAGGGCCCACTTCACACTTCTTTTTATCCCCCCGGCACTGGCTACCGGTTGCAGCTCCCATCAAGTTCAAGAAATTGATGTTTGCGTACAGAACAGCCACAGGCTCAGCATCCTCCTACTTCCTCCTCACTCTTACGAATCTACATCCCCTCAAGAAGCCTGAGATCTGATTGTAAGCAATGCCTTGTGGTAACTTTACAGAGAGGCATTTTCGTTCACCTTTCCTGGCTGGTGAAATGATCTTCCCACAATCGCAGTAATTAACAGAACACCCGACATAAAATTTGACATAACTGGGACCCGAACCGCACCTGCATTAAATCTCCTACATGAGGTAGACACAACTCATTTATTAAAACTTTTATTCAAATTGTGAATAGATTAAATACAGAAAGCAAGCAAAGAGCGCTTCCTTTAATATAATCACTACAGCTGTCAATCAGTGGCAGCGCGACTGGCTACATTGTTCAGCGTGTACTGGACCAAGTCGAAATAGCCTTGGTTATTGGACCCGCAACCCACCCGTGCTTGTCACCGTCCAGCCCGCACCCGCATCACACCCTACACATAAATATTATTACACACATTACATCAAATATTAGCGATTCACCTGCATGTACCCGCCTGCATGCAGGACTCTGGCTTCCCCCTCGTGGACAACATAATAGACAATCCTGGCCCCAGAGAGTGATTGCAAATTAAGTTAACTGTTCACCTGATTGCGTTGCCATCTGCATGTGATTTTAGAGCGTTGTTGAGAGAGAACAAGAATGTATTGGAAACACACTACCACCTACCTGACTCTGCCTGAGAGGTAAGGAAAAATACACTTACCTGAGATTTTTTTTTTATATATCTCTGAAATATATGATAATATTCTTGAAAACAATATTTTAATGTATTATTGAATAAAATAGTTAATTATCAAAGAAATAATAAATGTATAGCCATAATATGGACTTTTGTAAATACTGTGATGCTTAGATACTATGATTTCCTTCTCACATTGCTGATTTCACCATTAACTCTTCACCTGAACAGTTTTTGTATATGGTATCATTGTAATCATTGAGCATCAAAACATAGGGGTAGACATCATCTTTTCTGTGTTATCATGTTTGGTTCAGGAGATATGACACAAAATGCATAATTTGGTTATGGCGGAAAGTAAAATGGTTCCATTTCTGAAAATGTTTAGGGCCACAAACTATATGTGTACCAAGTTTCATGCTTTTATGAAAAAGTTAACATTATTTTCACATATCACCTGGACTAAGTGGACTTGTTAGTTTTTGTCATATTACACCATATTGAAACCCCAGGAAAAAAGTGACAAAATTACAGTGTAAGCAGTAGTTGTTTTATTAGTTTTCTAATTGTTGCAGTGCTGTGCAGTGAAGAGCTATTATGACAGACAGGGTTATTATGGTAAGTTTGCCAAGAGCCATATAATGTCACTTAAGAATATATACATGTTGAATTGTAATGATACTTTTAATTCATTTACTAATTTTAATACAATTTAAAGGTTAAAGCAGTACAATAATTGACTATGGCATCGAGTGTTCTTGATACAATCCCTTTTTATAAATTACTTGTTTTGAGAAACCAGTTTGTCTTCGCCAGAATTTATCACATTACATTCTAGACTTTGAAGACATTGCTGTACAGTACTGCATAGAGCATATAAATTGAAACAATAACATTGACAAAGTTATGGTGGCACACAGGCATTTGTACACCGGAAAAACACTTATGGTTGTGAACAAATTAAATGGAAATGTTGTCATGTTGAGAGCATTTCAGTAACAATGTTTCTAAATATATCACTGCCATTCATGATGAGATTTGTTAGCCAGGTCTCAGGTTACAGTGTCCTCACCAGCAAGTTAACAGAGAACTAGATATTTGTGCTCACCTTTTTAGAGCACACAATGTCCCACTTGATTTCCTAGTAATAGCCTAAACTTGTGAACCATGCATTAAGCTGGATTAAGATAAATCTGTATGTGTTCCAGTAATGTATAATAGAGAAGTGGTTGTTTCCATTCTGCTTTAAGTGAAGGACACATACTATCCAAAAAGCACAAAGATTCTGTTCAGTTATGCATCATTTTACAATCTTATCAGTCCATCGAGTCCAACAGTTCATTTGAATAACTTGTCTGTGCACACAATAACTTTGGCATTTAAACATAAACAATCTACATTTCAACAAATCTGAGTAATGTGAGTTAATCTGAATAAAAAACAAAAACAAAACCTTAATACCGACAGAATGCTTAAAGGGACGATTCTTGGAAAAAACAACAACTGTAATTGCATTGGAGAAACATTTGAGATGTAATATAAATAAAATATCTATACATTTGACAGTTGTTTACATGTGCATAGCCCAGATTGTTTGATCAATCTGAATTGGTTTACCCATGTAAGACATGACAAAGTTCATTTACGGGAAACACATCTGATTTATACTCGAAGTAGTCCAGTTTGCAGACAACAGCAATAATTTTATAAATTAACAGTTATTTGTAGTCTGAGCAAAAAAAATACATTCTATGCTAACTCTTATGTTTAATTTTTAAATATATTTATTATATTAATCTGTATGCTACAAATTACACATAAAGATGCCTTTACATGAAAAAAGAAGAACATAAGGTTTAAAATGTTGCAATGGAAAATCATGCTTTTCCCCCAATTGAATTCACATTTCAACTTCACAATTCTACTGTAACGTCAACATGAAACGTTTGCGTTGACTGAAAAGTTGTTTCAGAAGGGTACAAAGTTATGACATTTTGATTTTGAAAGTTCAGTTTCAATTTCATGTTAACTTTTAGACTTAATAATACATTAATATAAAGGCCCTGTCCCACATCATTCAGAATTTGTAAGAACATAATCGCGAGATGCAATCTGTATTAGTGTTTGTGTTTTGTTATTTACATACTGTAATCTGTGTGTTTGAGTAAATATAATGGATTTGATACATTGACACATCCTGGATCAATACGCTGTAGAAATAATACTACGAAAAATAAACACCCTTTTCCCACTCAAAATGCATAAGTATATCTGCTTTCATGTTTTAAGGGCTTACATTGAATTCAAATCTCTATAAAACAGTACAAACATGCACATTCTATGTTTCCTTCTCACCAAGTTTATAAATACAATTAAATACAGGTTTACCAAAGGTATGATGCAGTGCAATTTCAGTAAAGCATGCGAGGACATTCTCCACGGCCCTACAACTGATTATAGAGAGAGGAAAGGTGTCACAGTGTAAATACTGAATGCATACAGATCTCCAGGCCTTGAAATACAGCTTTCATAAAATACAAACAGTTAAAGCATTATTTTGCTAATGGCATGTGTTTGCTGGCAAATCATTAACAATATTGCATGAATGATGTGTTAGGATTGCGTTGCATAAATTGTAAACCTGCACATTATGGAAGTAGCAGGCTGGCTTTGGACATAGAGCTTTGCACGCTACACGTTTATGGACCGAATCTTGGCTACTTTCCAACAAAGAGCTTTATCTTGTTTAATAATCTGTATTAGTTTGACGATTCAGTGCGTTTGTAAAATGCCAGTTCTTTTGACATCAGTGCTGTAATGTGTCACATTAGGCAGTGTTTGAAAGTAATTTTCAGTGGCTGCATCTCACATGAGAGGCAGATAAGTGGTATTGAGATCTTTTTTCTGTTAACAGCAAATAGTATGAATTTACCACTATGGGATCAGTTAAGGAATGATGGAAGGTAGTTTACACACATACAGAACTTATTATATTACATTAATATTATTATTAATATTTTGTGTCCGTGTGAATTTAAGTTCCCTTCAGTAAGCAACCGCTAGTGGTTAGGGTGTTTTCATTTTCCACCAGTGAACCAAATTCTGATCTCACTCAAGAGACCAGACTGAACTTGTTACAGTTGTAGACTAAATCATGTGCTTTACTGTTACATTATGAAAGTGTACCAAGAAAATCAGTTTACCCTTAGATTATGTCTTTGACAGAGTGCTGGAAGTGGAACTATTGGTGCAGTTAAAGGTCGTGAACCCAGGGAGCGTGACCCTGCCATGTGTGTAGATGTCATGGTTAGACCCCTTGTTCATCCTCTTTACCAGGTTCTTCTCATAGAGTAAAGGGTGGTAGGCACCTAGGGTGCAGGCTGCATCACTGAAGCGCTGGTAGTAGTGGCACAGCTCGGTTTTCCGTCGTGAAGGCAGGAACTCATACACATGTACCACTTCACACAGGGACATCATTAAAACTGTGCCTACGGAGATAGAAGGGCAAAATATAGTTCGGCTTTTTTAACCATTTGTGGTTAGATTTTCCTCAGTATAACTTACCCAGCAAGCCTGATGAGGGTGGGTTTTTTTGTATGGTCTCCACCATATTGTCTTGTATTCGCTGCCACAGCTGCCATTCCATTCGGGGGTGCAGAATATAAAATGGCTGTTGAGGGTGTAAGCGCCGATATCGCTGATACTGTTTAAATATTGGGTAATCTGTCTTGTTGAACCACTGAAAGTAAAAATATAAGGAGGAATACATAACCGCAATTAAATTGAATTGATGAAATCTGGAATGTTTACTAAACCTCAGTTATTGTGTATATAATAATACATTTTTAAAACTGCATAATTTTTTTTTATAGTTTCTCATTTCAATTTTATTTTAGGGTAAACATGAAAATTTAATTATAGTTATTGTATATTACAATTAGGGTTATCATTTAACTAAAACTAAAAACATTTTCATTACTTGAAATACTATAAATGTTAACTGAAATAAAATATAAAACTTATTTTATTTCAGCTACTTAACAAGGCAACATTTAAAATTTTCATTTATTTTAACCTGATGTTGTAAAATAACTAAAACTTAAAGGGATAGTTCACCCAAAAATGAAAATTCTGTCATTTAATTACTCACCCTCCTGTCGTTACAAAACCATAAGACCTTCGTTCATCTTCGGAACACAAATTAAGATATTTTTGATGAGATCTTCCATAGAAAGCAAGGGAACTACCATATTCAAGAAAGAAAACAAAAATAACAACTTTATTCAACAATTTCTTCTGTTCCGGTCAGTCTCCGCCACCATTCATGACAGTACTACAACGCATTTGTGTGCATTCCTCTGCTTGTAAACAAGATTCACTGCATGTGTAAACTTTAACTAAAATTCAATACAATAAAATTATCAATACACAATATAATTATAATTGTGATAATTTATTTGAATTATTTTTAATAAAATCCGTTTCATGTTGACTAAAATAGAATATAAATGTGTGTGTGTGTGTGTGTGTGTGTGTAAAAAGATGCTATTTAATATTGTAGTCAACATTTTTAATAGTATTTTAGAGTAAATTATAGTTAGTGCGTTATATATATATATATATATATATATATATATATACTGTGTGTGTGTGTATATATATATATATATTTTTGCAGTGTGACCCTAATTATTGCTATGCAATAACATTGCGTTATTTTAAACACATATTATAATAATAATGATATATTATTGAATTATACATTGTAGTATAGTAATAAGATTCTGATTAAAATGAGAACAATAGTATATTTATATAATACAAAATTATATATATATATATATATATATATAATTATTATTATTTTTTTATTTTTTTTTTAAATAAATTATAGGCACTGTATTTATTATAATTCTTTTATGAAAAGTTTCCAAGTGATGTTCTAATATTTATTTTGTCCATTTATAGCATTTAAATAAATTGAATACATGACTGTACTCGAAAAATGTACTGGTAAAACCAAGTAAGACACATTTTTTATATATATATATATATATATAAAAAGCTTTGCATCTCCCCGTCAGGGAATCAAACCCTGGTCTCTGTGACAGGCGGGGATACTTACCACTATACTAACGAGGAGTGGCTTAGTGGTCACATGGTCCAGGCAGAGCAAGAACCATACTAAAGCTAAGACTAGGCCTTTGTGTTGAAACTTGCTAAATAAGCATGAAAGTTTGTGACTGTGCCAAATGCTAGAAAGTGGAAAAGTTAGTTCTTACCTCTCGTAGATCAGAGGAATAAGGGCCTGGATCCCAGCTCACTAAAATCCCAGCACTGTACAAAGAACTGGAGAGGAAATGGTGATCTTCAGATGCCATTACCTATGTAATAAACAGACATTATGTTTTTTAGGACCTTGTTACTCCATGTTATTTTATCTTTTCACCAGTTATCAAACAAACTACCTGGGAATTGATCAGACGCACTGTTGTTTTAGAGCCCACATCTTTCTCAAAGCCTGTTGTTGGTGCAGCATTGAACCGCATCACTGCATCATGTGAATCTAGAATTCAAGATTTTTTTTTTTTTGTAATAGTCAGATATTACTGATAGTAGTGAAAATAACCATTATATCAACAAAAATCGATAACCGATATGTTTTCAGATGGGGATAGGTGGTATGACAAAAGTCTTTTAACTGTTTATTTTTCTGGAAATTTAAAGGGATACTCCACCCCAAAATGAAATTTTTGTCATTAATCACTTACCCCGATGTCGTTCCAGACCCCTAAAAGCTTAGTTCGTCTTCGGAACACAATTTAAGATATTTTTGATGAAAACCGGGAGGCCGGTTCCCGCCTCCTCCTTCCCGTGACTACAAACTGCGTTACAACTGCCAAGTAAATTACACTGTCAAGGTCCAGAAAAGTATGAAAGACATCGTCAGAATAGTCCATCTGCCATAAGTGGTTCAACCGTAACGTTATGAAGCGACGATAATACTTTTTTTTTTACGCGAAGAAAACAAAAATAATGACTTTATTCAACAATTCGTCTCCTCTGTCTTTCCGCATCACTGTAGCACAATTTTGGAGAATAACCACTGAACGCAAGCAGCATACGCTATTCTGTGTCAGCCGCGACACAAGGATACGTTTTCTACGAGTATTTACGCTTTGATTTGAACGAAAACAGCGCATCCGTGCAGCGCGGCTGACACAGAATAGTGTACGTTGCTTGCGTTCAGTGGTTATTCTCCAAAATGGCACTACGGTGAGGAGATAAATTGTTGCATTAAGTCGTTATTTTTGTTTTCTTCACGTACAAAAAGTATTCTCGTCGCTTCATAACGTTACGGTTGAACCACTGATGGCAGATGGACTATTCTGACGATGTCTTTCATACTTTTCTGGACCTTGACAGTGTAATTTACTTGGCAGTCAATCAGGCAATCACAAGCCTCCCGGTTTTCATCCAAAATATCTTAAATTGTGTTCCGAAGATGAACAAAGCTTTTACGGGTTTGGAACGACATGGGGTATAATGTCTAGTGACGTAAATACTAAAGATATCTAATCTCTTTTTTTGATGGATGCAAAACAATAAAAGATAATTCAGGACAAATAAATATTTCTGGCATCAACACTTCACATTATGCAATAGTTAAAAAAAATATCAAAACATTATGACCAGACAGCCTTGTAAACCAAAGGAGTTTTTTTTTTATATATATATAAAAAATAATTAAGATTTGTATATAAACTTACAAACTATGAATATGACCAGATAAGTCATATTTGAAACCTTGTTTAACAAAGAATGTTTTTTAATAAAAAATTAAGATTTGTATATAAAATATTTTACAAACTCATCTGGTTGACAGACCTTCACACAGCGTACATCATAACACCCAGACTTTTTTGTTTTAAATTGGAAAAAGGTTCACCCCCTTGCATCAGTATTTTGTTGAACCACCTTTTGCTTTAATTACAGCCTTTAGTCTGTTGGGATATGTCTTTACTAACTTTGCACATCTAGACTTTGCATTATTTGCCCACTCTTATTTGCAGAACTGCTCATGGTCTGTTAAATTTGATGGTGAGCGTTTGTGGACTGTAGTCCAAGTCATTCCATAGATTTTCAATGGGGTTTAAGTCTGGGCTCTGACTAGGCCATGCAAGGACATTCACCTTTTTTTCCTTCAACCAGTGGTCAGTTTTGCTGATAAAGGTAAACCTTCCCATTGACAACTTTCTGGCAGAGGGCAACAGATTTTCCTCAAGAATTAGTTTGTATTATGCCCCATCCATTTTTCCTTCTATCCTGACAAGTGCTCCAGTCCCTGCTGCAGAGAAACACACCCATAACAGGATATTACCACCTCCATGCTTTACTGTAACAATGGTGTTATTTGGATGGTGAGCTGTATTAGATTTCTGCCAGACATATAATTTGGTGTTGTGGCCTTTCTTGAGTAGTGCCTTTTTTTCTTGCAACCCTCCCATACAAGCCACATTTGTGGAGAATTTGTGATATTGTTGTCACATGCACACATTGACCAGTTTTTGTCATAAATTCCCACAACTGCTTCAGAGTTGTTGTAGGCCTCTTGGTAGCCTTTCTGACCAGTTTGCTCCTGGCTATTTCATCCAGTTTGGAGCTTTGGGTTACAAGTCCGACTCTCTAACCATTAGGCCACGACTTCCCTCAATGCCTAGAAGCACTTAAGCTTCAATACCACTACTGAGGTGCCCTTGAGCAAGGCACCGAACCCCCAACTGCTCCCCGGGTGCCGCAGCAAAAGATGGAGCCCACTGTGTGTTCACGGTGTGTGTGTGTTCACTGCTGTGTGTGTGCACTTTGGATGGGATAAATGCAGAGCACTAATTCCGAGTATGGGTCACCATACTTGGCCACATGTCACTTCACTTTCACTTTTGATAAAGCCTTTGAATTTTTTTTGTATCCATCTCCTGACTTGTGCCTGTCCACAACTTTATCCCGGAGATCTTTTGACTGCCTTGCCTCCCATAGTTGCGGGTTCGAGTCTCATACCAGCAGGTACAATCCCATAGTTGATTGTTTGCTTCAATTGCACTACAAAGGACTGAAATGCTCAATGAATGCTTTTCATGCTTGGCTAATCAAAATGACCACAGCTGATCACAGTTGAAAGTCAAATGGCTTTGTGTGCCATTGAGAAGGTGATTAGCTACACCTGATTGAGTTTACAGGTCATTTTTAGGAGGGGGTGATCCTTTTTCCAGCTTTTGACATGTTGGTTTTATATCTTTCTCTGGAATGTTATAAGTTGCACTGAGTAAATACAGTTGGATAAAACAAAAACTGTGTCCGTCTTCATTTCAGGCTGCAAAGCAACAAAATGTGATTATTTTAAATATATATCTCTATATGTTTATATAGATAGATCGATACAGTGGGTACGGAAATTATTTAGACCCCCTTACATTTTTCACTGTTATATTGCAGCCATTTGCTAAAATCATTAATTTTTTTTTCCTAATTAATGTACACACAGCACCCCATATTGACAGAAAAACACAGAATTGTTGACATTTTTGCAGATGTTAAGCTGACATTGTGATTCCCCCCCCCCACCCCCTCTCCCGCAAATCTGCAGCATCCCAGTTCCGTGTTTTGAAAGGAAATTAAGTTTACTACGGAAACCCTAAAAGGAATAAATAGCCTATGAGATGGGAGGATAAAAAAAAATAAATTCAATACTTTTTCTCGCAATTATATCGTTGGGTAAGTATAGGCAACTGTATATAAATTGCGGACATCAGGGAACCGCTATTGAAACCGCTTTCGATTGCGTGCTCTAATTTTACTTTCACTTTTGAGTTTCACAATCATAAGGACTCTATACTATGGTGCGGCAGTACTTACCACACATTTGACAAGATTAGATGTTTGTCATTGGTGCTCAGGATCTGCAAATCATTCGCCATCGTCCTATCAGACATTTCTCCTTACTCGGTGTATGTGGTAAGTGACCTTTCATGTACTGTAATGCAACAGGCTACCGCAAGCAAGCAGCTAACCTTTCAGTGGCTCTGTAGAATGCGTTATTTGTTTCACGCTTCGGGCACACCACCAATCCCCCCTCCCCCACCCGATGTCATCGTCCATCACTATGCTTCACTGTAGACATCGTCCGATGCCAATTTGGTAGACATCGCCCAACCCTAATATAGATATATTCTCATTATATTTCAGGTCAAAGAAATAGATCCAGATTATGTTATGAATTTAGTTATTACCTATTTCCTTTCCTAATCCAGAGTTTTTGAGAGAACCTGCAGATGATACCACTGCGCAGGTCTTGAACGGGCCAATATCAGCAGTTATTTGGCGCGGAGGTAACTGAGAGGCCAAGGGCAACCCAGAAAATGGCTCCATATCTGGTGTTAAAGTTGCAATCTGAACCATCTCCTTAATTTGACAAAGAAGTTCAGGGCCACTGAGTTTAGAACGACGTGCTGCACTCTCAGGTCCAGGGTAGCGAACTCCATATTTATTCATTGCCTAAAATAAAAACAAAAAAGACTATGATAGATAGATAGATCACATTTCATTTGTTGCAATTAACACTTGGTATTAGGTAGTGCTTTGTATTTTTACATGTGCAGTTGAGCTTCATCCTCAGAGGATTATGTAAAATTTTACACAATCCTCTGAGGATGAAGCTCGCCTGCATATGTAAAAAATACAAAACACTACCTAATACTAACTGAAGAGACTTCATGCCTTAGTGATCAGCAGTTGCAGTCCTTTAAGTTTGTTACTGTGTTTTCATGTTAAGGCTTTTAGATGTTTGAGTTTCCCTCACCTGAAAGTTCTGCACCACCTTCCTCAGCCTTTTTCCCAGCATGCTACTTGACATCTCTTCATTCCAGACCTCTCCGAGTGCTCCATTAGGCCCAAAAACAACAGCATCCCCACTTGCAGCACCCACATTTCCTCTCTGTCGGCCTCCAAAAATAGTCTCTATAGCACGTCTCAGTGGTCGTTCCAGAAGCCAGTAAAATAGCCCATGGTCTCTTTGTTTGCCGCTGAGGTTGCGGTCCTTAGTATAGCTCCCCATTGAGTAGTTAGAAGACGACAGGATGGGAATAGGCTTTTGAGGATCTCCAGGAACGATACCTGGAAGCTTTTGAGGGTCAGTATACATGGGTTTCGACCCTCCTGTTCCCCGCAATACCTTCAATAGATCAGTGTCACTTTTAGTAAGGATGCATTTTACATTTTTGACTATACAGGGTGTTGCTGGGTGTTACAGGGTGTGACAGCTCTTTCAATATTTATTAAAAATCTACAAGTTGGAAAGTTTGATTTAAAATAGTTTACAAAAGCAAGAAAAAATGAATTAGTAGATTAGTTTACTTGTTCAATTTATTATCCCCTAAAACCTCTGTAGCCCATTTAGCCACTTGTTAGCAACCGCCTTTTTAAAACACATGAAAGCTTAAAAACAATCACAAATAGCGTTTTGCTGATGTTTGTTGTAGAATAAAACATAAAAACTTGAGCTTGTCTTATCTCAGGGAATCAAGGTCGAGGTTATGCAAGTAACTGAATCATTCACTATCAAACAGTCTCTCCTGTTGCGTTAACACGCTATGGGGAATGCATCCAATAGCGCCGTGCTACGCAAATGCAGAATGCAGCCGCTCTGCGAGCCCAGTCCCGGGGCACTCTTACTGAGGACTCCTATAAGCATGAGCACATAATGAGACCCGAGCCGTTAGGCTGAGTACTACATAACTTGACCTTTTCCACTTGCAAAGGGAATTAGGTATACTTAAGCGGAAAAGATCCGTGCCTGCAGGGCAGGGACATCCAAGCTACAGGATCTAGCAACGGTAGACCGCAATGACCAACCGGCGACCGCACAAATCTCACCAATAGAAATCCCACTGGACCAAGCCCAGGAGGAGGCCATTCCTCTGGTGGAGTGAGCCCTCACACCTGTAGAGCACTGCAAGCCTGCTGAGGCGTAAGCCAATGCTATACCATCCACTATCCAGCAAATCTCTGCTTCGTGACTGGCAGAACATTTAGAGTGGCCTCCGAAGCATACAAAGAGCTGCTGTGAGTGTCTGAATGGGCCAGAGCGCTCAACATACACCCTAAGGCAGTGTTTCCCAACCGGGGTGCCGTCTGTCGAGAGCAGGGGTGCCGTGTAAAAAAAAAAATCATTTTTTAATATTTTTAAATTGCTAAAATGTTCAAAAAAGCAGCTATTATATAATATCCATTTCTGATGTCGGCAATAATTAGAGATGCACTGAAATTTCGGCTGCCGAAAATTAGTTCACCGCTCAGGATTCACTTTCACGTGGTGTGACGCTCTGCGTATTATCCCGCTCTATGCGTGTGCGCTCTGCTCAGTCGATCATGGCCCATGTGAGTGCTCCACTCATATACCGTTCATGCTCATCAGAACAGCAAAGTCCACTCAAAAATCGAGCTGACAGGAAACATCTATGTAGTACAGTATTGTTTCTGTTTGCAATAGCCCTACTGTGCTGTAACAAGGTGTGGTAAATGGGCAACTCTGGTAACACTGCCCTCTCATTCATTGATCTGCTAACCGTTATGCTCATGTGTCCTCTGATGATAATAATAACTTTCTAGGATTAAACATTATTTGGATAATTGGTAAAAAAAAAATATCTTAATAGCCCTACTGTGTGTTCGACCTACCTGAAAAACTAAAAAGCAATTTATTTCATTTGTTGGCCTATCGTTATTTTTTATTTGTGCTATCATTAGTATTTTCTTTTTGTTATTTTATTATTAACTGTTTAGCCTCCTTGTCATTTTTTTTATTCAATTCAAAGTTTTAAATCAAGCTATCTCGTGCTACTGCAACAAAATTACCCAACTGTAAAATACACTGAGTGAGCAAAACTTTGTTTAATTACCATTATAACTAGCTATCTCACAATGTTTACATATGAATAAAAGCCTACATTTAAAATCTGTCATATAAATTGGTCTTTTCATTAGAAATTAGCCGACTGATTCCCACCATTGATGGAACATTTTTTTTTAAATAATATTAAAAATATCTGTATGACAGTATATTCTGCAGTTCTTCCCTGCTGTACCGAATATCTATACTTTTCAAAGTATCATATAGAAGTTAGAAATTCAAATATTGTGACAAAATAAATTTTGTAGGGTGCCACAAATTAGTTAAAATTTCCAAAGGGTGCCACGACTAAAGAAAGGTTGAGAAACACTGCTCTAAGGGACCGAACTAGGCAGAGTGGGTTGGGACCCTGCTCACCATCTGCAACCGGGAGTGCCAGAAGGGTGATAACTTGCGCTCTGAACGGAGTGGAGAGCACTTTCGGCACAAAACCAAGTCTCTGTTTGAGGACGATTCTACAGTCGTTGGGCCCAAACTCAAGGCAGGAAGCACTGACTGACAGTGCTTGAAAGTCAGCCACTAGCTTGACTGTCGCTAAAGCCAAAACCAGGGTGGTCTTAAATGACATGGGCCACAGATCGGCCGGCTGGAGCCACTCAAAGGGAGGGCCCCGTAGGGCTCTGAGGACTACAGATAAGTCACAAGTCGGCACTGTATGAGGGCAAGGAGGATTCAATCTCCACGCTCTCCTCAGAAATGAAACGACCAAGTCGTTTCTACCGACTGATTGGCCAGCCACGAGAGAGTGATTCACCGTGTTGGCTGTCACATACACCTTGAGCATGGAAGGGGTGCGCCCCTTATCCAGCAGCTCTTGTAGGAAAGTTAGCTCATGGGACACGTCACAAGAGGACGGGTCCTGGCTCCGTGCTATACAATAGTCAGAGAAGACTGCAACAGGCGAGTGCTGGGCCAATTGTGGGCCAGGGCATCTCGCTGTCTCGAGAAATAAATTGGGCAGTGAGAGTTGTCTTCTGAGGTGAAGAGGTCCACCTCTGCCCTCCTGAAGACAGACCAAATCATTTGAACCGTTTGAGGATATAGTCTCCTTTCTCCTGGAGATGCATTGTCTCTGGACAGCATATCTGCCCCTTGGTTCAGTCTGCCCGGCACGCTCTTATTGAGAGGAGTTTGCCTTGAGCCCATAACAAGAGGCATCAAGCCAACCTGTAAACCTTGGTGATTGATGTAGGCTACCACCGTCAGGACGTAGTGCCCCTTTAAGTCTGGCAGGAAGGTTTTTAGGGCCAGAAAAACTGCCATCATTTCAAGGCAGTTGATGTGCAAGCGCTGCTCCAGGTTTGACCTGGAGCCAAACGCCGGTCTGCCCTCGTACAGAGCTCCCCAACTCAAGTTGGAGGCATCTGTTGTGACCACCTTCCTTCTGGAGGTCAGTCCCATTTGGACGCCTGATTGAAGACTGATGAGTCAAGGAAGGTGACCTTGTCAGCGTCCCTGATCTCAGATTTAGCCAAAGGTGGCTCTCCAGCACCACCAGATTGGACATTGCCGTGCCGATCGCCTGTGCTGTTGCCTTGGTAGAGCACAGAGCCAGGTCGGTTGCTATGCGCAGTTCCTTAAAGGCGTCAGAATCCTGGCCAGACTCGTCCATGGAATGGAGACGTTTGGCCTGAAACACCTGGAGTACCACCATCGTATGCAGAGCTGAGCCAGCCTGGCCAGCTGCTGCATAAGCCCTGCCAAGGCTGATGTAGTCCTGCAGGGCTTGGATGGATGCACTGCATGGACTTTCAACCCCAGGGCCGATTGAGGGCACTGATGAGCAGCGACCGCCTCTTCCAGAGCGGGGGGAGCTTGCTATAGCCTATTTCTTCAGCGGCGTCAACAGTGGTGAGAGCAGTGGAAGTAGAGGGATTAACACGGGCCAAGTAGGGGGTGAAGCGTCTGGACCAATCAGACACACCATTTTCATTTGATTTAACAAATCAATTATTCATTAGATTAACAAACATTCACAGACCCCTCACCCAATAAACATACTGGGTGCCAAGATGTCTGTGAACGAGGCCCAGAACCCTGGTTACCATGGCAACCATGACACCTTTGCTAGACCAGATAAACTTTACGACCTAATAGCATGTTGAGAGTTATTCCTCTCACTACATTTTCCATAGGAAAGACACATAATGCACAGCAAAATGGACTATTCTCTAATTAATTACTAGGAAAACCTTTCTGTGAATGAACACACATCTCCTCAGGACATTTGTGTATACCATTACTGTTCTTGTAAATTGTCTTTTGAATTGTTTACTCTTTTGTGTGTGTGTTATGATAGATCACTAGTTCATATAGCCCCACCGATACCATGTTTGGTCTCTTTGAATTTGTCTTCTGATGATCTAAATGAGCGTTTATATTATATGTGGGTACATAGGCAATATAGTAGTGTTCTAAGAATCTTTAGTAATTTTGCATCAACACCCAATCGAGTTCCATATGCAAATTACCATGCTCTCACACAAAGGGTCATAAAACTCCCCAGTAGTTCCAACCTCCCACTTGGAATTTCAGCCTTTCTCATTAGACAAGCCCATCCTGAGAGGCGTGAATCTTCTCAGACCTTAAAAGGCTCACGCACAGTTCCGCCCACGTTTTTTTTGTTGTGTTGTTTTCTTCTGCTAAGTCTTCTGTTAAAACCTTCTGATCGTGGGCCGTGTAGAGAGCCTGAGCCGGTGCGGGCCTGCCCGGTGAACTCCAACACATAGTCAGTCAGTCTGCGGTTCTGTTAGATTCTGAGAAGATGGTCTTCAAACCCGGATGAAGGTGATTGTGACTCCTACACCACCGAACCTCCAAACCATCAAGACTTTCATCCGAGACTGCATCCGTACGCTCGTTCCAGGCCAAGGCAATGCACTTATTGTACATTTAACTAAACGAAACAGAGGTTTAGTATAAGCTGTAGACCCCGTTCTAAAACGGCACTGATGTTTTCACTCAGGTGGTTAACTGACTCTTTTCAGCTTCATTCTCTGGTTTTCCTGATGGTTTCATCCATCAAGTCTCATTTGCCCTTTTCCCTGTATGAGTGATTGTTTGTTTGTTAGACTAGTTTGTGTTAGTGTGTAATAAAACTTGTGCACAAATTACATGAGTTTCTGATTCTGCCTTGCAAATTAATTGTCCCTTTACGATTTTGATCCTTACTACATGCTCTAATGCATTAATACTGTAGGAAAGTATTTTCTGTGGCCATGGAAATATTTATTTCCTAGAGTTGATATGAACTTACACTGAATGTTCGCTGGACGAACAGATTGGTTGATGGCAATTTAATTCTGCTACAGTTACTACTGGCAGCTGATATAAATAATTGTAATTAATCATAATTAATTTTAATTATTTATATACATTTCCCTTTTGAGCTAATTTGCTACAGGGGTGCACTCTTCATGAACTGCCGGCAGGAACGGAGCAGACCGATGGCGGGAGGATCACTGATGGTGTCCCTTCATGTTCCACTCGTCGAGAAGGCCGTGGGCAGGCTCTTCCGGAGCCGACCAAGCCAGGCCGTGATCCTCCACAGCCTTAGACAGAATGCGGATCAGCTTGCTGTCCATGCGTGATCATGTTGTTTGCGTCAGAGGCGGGGATTCGGGCTCTTTGCTGGAACACGCCCACTCTTCTGCATCCGATGCTGTTAATGACATGGAGTCATCAGTGGCGATCTCCTCCTCAGACACGCTGAAGGATATCAGGCCACTCGCAGCCAACAAGGGGCATTGATCCTCACGCGTGAAGCACTCCGGCGATTCGAGGTGATGAGGGGAGAGTGAAGCACCCATGTGAGTTCATTCGAGCCCAGTGAAAAGACCCTGCTGCTTTGCTGTTTCTTCCTCCTATGGGAGGGAGGAAACGGGAGAGCAGAGTGGGGAGGACCACCTTCATGGAAGAAGGCAATCCGTGAGCATAGAAGGGTGAGACTCATGCTCTCGCAATGAAAGCATGCTGCCTCTGTGTGGGCACTGCCCAGACAGGTGACACACTCACTGTCTGCATCATGCTGGGGTTCCCTGCAACAAGCCACACTCGCGGCGTGACATTTGACAACGTCACTGGAGATTTGCTATTTTAAGTGCTGGATGGCCAAAGGGGAAGGCTTCTTGCTGCTTCCTCTGCCGGGGCTCCTTCTACGGCGGCGAGCAGCAGGCTAAGCAGAGCTCTTCTTTTTCTCTTGGCTTCTCAATCACAGAGTCAGCGAAGAGATGATCTCGTCGAAGGAGAAAAATTCTGATGAAAAGGCACTCTGAGCCAACTTATTTAGCAGTCGGCTCCTCCCCTTCTGGCAGGCTAGAGCACTATTGGTTTGTGCAGCTACACAAGCGTGAACAAATCAGGCTTTAGTAAGAGAGTAAACAGGAGTTTCCCTATAGCGTGTTAACACAACGGGAGAGAACGTTCGATAGGGAACCTCATTTTCGGGCTTTAGGACTCATTTCTACAGCACTCTAATGATCAAATTCAGTGGAGCAGAAGGTCATGTGAGGAAAGGAATCTTGACATACCTTAACAATTGTGTGTGTTCTTGGCTGAGCTCGAGTTCTCGCCTTAACCCCAAAAATGGCATCTGTGACAGGTATGCTGTTTTCAGCGCAAAAGGTGTACAGGAGAGCCATAGCCATACAGAACAGTGCCATGCACAGGGCCCCTCGACGGGCCCGGCGTCTCAACCGCCAAAGTAGGCTAACACGATCCATGGCAGCCCCTGGGATCTGGATAATGAAGCACAGACAATATTAGCAAATTAAAGGAAGCCCTCTGCAAAAGGAGTTTGCAGATACATAGAAGCATATGCATGGATTCAGTTGAATTGAAGACAGTAGAAAATAGTTTGAAATGGTCAAATATTTACTTTGAAGTCCTGTTAAGGTCAGGTTAGAAATTAAATTAGTATGAAGGAAAAAGCATGTTTAATACACTAGAGAATTTCTGTGTAATTGTAGTGGATTATATTGTAGGGTCCTTTTGATGTGATTTTGATATGTTAAACTGTTGGGTTAAATATGTAAAATGCTTAATAAGTAACTTCGGTTGCCCTACATTTAAGCTAGCAGAGTTCAGTGATGCAGTTCAGCTGTCTGGAATATGTTTGAAATCTCTAGATTCTCTTTCAACCAAGAACTTAAAGGGAGCGGACAAATTAGTTTAATAAATTGTGGTAGTTCCATTGGGGTTAGCCTAAAAAAAGACCATTTAAAGTAATACTTTTACAAAAAAGTAATATACCCTGATTAAAGGGAATATTTAAAATAAGTAGTTACACAGAACAAATTTTGTATTCTTTTTTTTTTTTATGGCAGTAATCAAAACCTCATATATAAACATGATGTGTGAAGAATGCTTAACAGTTAATGCCCACTGGTGCTCTTTAAGGGATATTCAGCTCAATGCAAATATGGTAGTCCATGGCATTCAAAGTAGGACATAAAATATAAAAAGTCTATGAAATCATGGCTTTCAACCTTACAAAATGAAAACCACTACATAACATCTAAGAAGCTTTCATCGGGGTATAAAAGAGCATCACTGAGAGTCTTATAAGGTGTAGCTAAATAATATCATGTGACAGTATCACAAGACATGACATAATACCATCACATGACAAAAACACCAAATTCAAAGTCAAGAAAAGGTTAAATTATATAATGAAGTCTGTTCAGTTTAATACATTTGTCTGCCCTTTAATACTAGTTCAAGCACAAAACCTTTTCATAACCCACTGGATAGATGGTATCACAAACATTATGAATTATGTATATATTCATTATGGTTAGTTACATAAGTAAGTGTATTTTCTAATGTGGCAGCTTGTAGCCTGTATTTTTGTAACATTTAATTCATTCAGGAGCAAGGGTTTGAAACATGCATCTTGCATTATTTGATTGAGATTTGACCAAACTGAGTTGAACGAAATGTTCTTGTATCATGTTACGATAATCTTGTGTTTTGAAACAGGCAATGCCATACATTTTTAAGTGGGTGGGCCTACATAAAACTGGGTGGGCAAAGTGTAGCGTATGAAAACTGCATGTCAAATTGCCAACAGAAAATACAGCACAAAGGATTAATATATAATACTTCTAAAGCATTGATAAACATTTATTTTAATTGCAACATTTACTAAAATTATTAAAATTAAAAGTTGTATCGGTTAACATTTGTACTGACAAAAATAACAACAGTAACACTTTACAATTAGGTTCCATTAGTTAATGTTAGTTAATAATAATAATAATAATGCATTTTATTTATTATGCGCTTTTCTTAACCCAAAGCGCTACAACTGCAAGCATAGGTGACAACAACAAGCATGGGTTTCTTAACCCATAGCACAACCACAAGCATAATAAAATAACAGCGATAAACACAATAAAACAGTATAAGCATATTCAGATACAGTAAGCAACTTTAAAAAGTTAAGTCTTTAAAAATTTCTTAAAGCAGTTCAATGTTGGAGAATCTCTAATTCCGGCTGGTAGAGCATTCCACAGTCGTGGAGCTGAGACAGAGAAAGCTCTACGACCCATAGTTTTTAATTTATATGCAGGCTGCTGAAGGATACACAACCCAGCTGAGCGCAAAGGGCGAGCGGGAGTATAAGGAGCAACTAAACTGGATATATAGGGAGGGGCAGTCCGATGAATAGCTTTATAAGTTAAGATCAGGATTTTCAAATCAATACGCGCTTGAATAGGAAGCCAAAGCAAGTTTTGCAGTACCGGAGTAATATGTTGACGGGCAGTTGTATACGTTAGTACCCGAGCAGCTGAATTCTGAATATATTGTAATTTCTTAATAGACTTATCAGGGAGACCAACATAAAGTGCATTGCAGTAATCAAGCCTCGATGTAATAAAGGCATGGATGAGCCTTTCTGCATCAGGCAATGATAGAAAAGGACGGAGTCTTGCAATGTTTCTTAAATGAAAAAATGCAGTTTTTGAAATCATTTTGATATGGGCATCAAACAATATCTGTTTTTGACTCATTAAGCATGAGAAAATTAATGTGCAACCAGGCTTTTATCTCGCCCAAGCAAGCAGTAAGTGTTGTAACTGCAAGATTAGGATTAGGGTGTGTGCTGAGATAGATCTGAGTATCATCGGCATGAAAATGAAACCCTAACCCAAACTTGCGAATGATCTGGTCCAGAGGCAACATATAAATACTAAACAGGATAGGCCCAAGTACAGATACTTTAGAGAGGCAGAAGTTGAAAATTCACAGGTCAATAGTTTGTGATCACTAAAATATAGTTCATCCTTTCTAAGTTGATCAATATCAGAACCCGTAGTACAAACTAAATCCAGTGTGTGGCCAGATTTATGTGTAGGGAAGTCAACATGCTGAGTGAAATTAAAACTGTTTGAGAACATTCAGGATTATCAACATGTATATTTATGTCCCCTATGAGCAGCATATCTGAGCCATTCAAACTCAACAACGTTAGCAGTTCCGCAAGTTCAGAGAAAAACCCAGAATTGATCTTGGGAGGACGATAAATAAGTATGAGAAGTACAGGAGCATTGCCATTAATTTTCATCACCAGACACTCAAATGAAGACATAACAGGTGTGCTAATTACAGAAGCAGACAAATCAGATTTATATAAAATTGCAAGACCACCACCTTTACCAGTGAGGCGAGGTCTATCAATATATGTATATCCAGGTGGCAAAGCCAAATTAAGATTGTAACAGTCATTTGGGTGATGCCATGTCTCACAAAGACAAAAAATGTCAAGTTTCCGATCGTGGATGATATCATGAAGCAATGCCGCTTTCTTATTCATGGACCGCACATTTAATTGTGCAAGTCTGATTTTAGATGTTACAATCTTATTGCACTTATTCCCTATAAACATTTGTGGGTAAGATAAATTAGGCGTGCAGATACCACGAGAGTTTAAATGTCCAGAGTCCCGAGAAAAGGAACAGAGCACATTTATACCAGCCGGCGAGGCATATAAACCCCGGCGTGAGCCACGATGCGAATATCTTGGCCGTCGCAACAGTTGAAGTGCTCGCAGAGCATTTTGTGTACAGTCATTGGGAGGCAAATAATGATCGAATGAAAGAAGTTCAGAAAATGAGTACCTTATCATATTGACGTTTGAGAGTTTAGGTTCCCATAGTCCAGCAAATCCAATCCGAGTGAAAACGACCGCAGCAACAATTATCACGAAGGGAAACAGCATAATGATATCCAGTCCAGTAGAGCCCTTAATGTAACCCGAGTCACGGTTATCATTCAAGATTCACATGCGAGAGCAGGAACACCAAGCCAAGATCAAATCCAGTCATCCATGCAACCTCAGATCCATGAAGCACCGAGGGTGTACGCACACAGGTGCCGAGCTGACCAAAGCAAAACCAGCGATAACGTGTAGCCTATCGGATCAGCCACGGCAGGGCAATGCCCGCCAAGCAGATGACATCCAATCCAGTAGAGGCCTTGATATATCCCGAGTCCCAGGTATCATTCGACAATTCAAATGAGAGAGCAGCGACACCAGGCCAGGATCAGATCAACTCATTCACACAACCACAGATCGATGACGCTCCGAGGGTGAACGGACATAGGTGCCGAGCCGACCAAACAAACCGGCAATGGCAAGTGTCGGCACGCCAATTTTCAGAGATAGTGTGTAAAGTGGCAATGTCTTTTAAAGTATCGAATAAAATAATTGAAGGTTGTTCAAATTTAATAAAAAAATAAATAAGCTACCAAACACACGGTAGAGAAGCGGCCGCCAACTGCACCAGCGTCCTCTCATACCGGAAGAGAATGTACTAACTAACATGAACAATACATTTATTCATGTATTTATTAATCTTTGTTAATGTTAGTGTCACGTATCGGTCCATGAACTTCCATCTGCTAGCCATCAGAGGTCACCCTTTCCATTTAATTGTCTCTCGCACTACACAGTTGCATATCACCCCGGACTACATATCCCATCGTCCACTGCACTGATGACACGCACACAGTTGATTGCACACAGCACTGATTGCACACAGCTGTAATCAATCACACATCCCCTATTTAACACTCACTCTGATCCCTTCCCTCTGCCGAGTATTGTTTAGCGAATATCATTGTTTAGCTGATAGCTACCTTAAGGAGCCTGCTTAATTTCCCTAGCCTTAGCGGAGTCTTGCTTTGTCTGTTTTCCTATGTTCTGATCTTTGCTTGTGTACCTGAATTTATCCCTCTTGTCTCACCCTGTTGGATTCCATTTGCCGTCGACTGACCCTCGCTAGTTTACCGGATTGCCCTTGCCTTGTCTTCTCCATGCCAGTTTGCCATTGTCTGACCCATGCCTGTTTCTGACCACGCCTGTGAATAAAGTTTGCAAATGGATCCGTACGTCTCGCGTCTTGTCAGCTCCGTAACAGTTAGTTAATGAAAATACAGTTGTTCGTTGTTAATTCTTGTTAATTCACAGTACATTGATGTTAACAAGCACAACTTTTGATGTTAATAATGCATTTGTAAATGTTGAAATTAACTAAGATTAATAAATGCTGTAGAAGTATTGTTCATACTTAGTAGTTAACTAATGAACCTTATTGTAAAGTGTTACCATAACAACGAACAGTTGTATTTTTATTACGTTAACAAATATAATAGTTAAGTAAATTTTAACGTGATAGCAAATGTATTGCTCATTGTTAATGTTAGTTAATGCATTAACTAATGTTAAATAAAGGAAGTTTATTGTAAAGCATTACCTCAGTCTGAGACAACGGGGCTTTGCAGTTGATTTCTTAATGAAGTGTCTCTGTCAATTCACTCACATCGAGGACCGCAGTGCGTGGCTGCAAATTATGCAGTTTGTTGTGGCAAACAGGATCTAGCACGTTTATGTGTTTCTTTCCTCAAAGGACGGCTCTATTTAGCGAATCAAACACTACTGATGCTAATGATACTTAAAACACGCTTGGCTCAGAAGTTTCTGATATAAATTCATCACCCGTTGGTGGTCTGGCTTCATTTAAGTTTGACAATTCAGATTCAGTGCTAAGACTTAGTTTCAATTGGAATATTCAATATATAGGCCGATTTATTAAAGAATTTATATATTTTTCGCCAGGGTGCGAATTACGGGGGAGCTCGGCTCCCCTTAATAAGACGTGGGCTCCCCTGAAAACGTGATTAAGATGTTGATCAGTACTGGCTTGGGATGGGTGTCATCACGTGTCTCAACCTGAGAGCATTTGGGGTGGGCCTAAGGCTGCAGCAGCGCTCACAACTTCGGACTTGTTGTGGGAAAATTCATGTTTTTCTCTTTATGTATGTCACCTGAAATGCAACAAAGACATCACACAGTAAAACAGAGAGCCTTTGAAGTCTTTAGGACAGATAATTTAATCAGGAAAGACAGAGGGGTTAGTACTTTTGGCCTCACGGGTGTGAAGGCACACAAACACACAGTAAAAACAAATGATCAGAAAGAGCCTTTGAACTCTTCAGTGCAGGAAAGACAGGGGGGTTGTTGACCTCACAGATGTGAAGATAATAAAAGCCCAGGGGGGTTAGAAGGACCATTGTTTTTTCT